GATTCCTTCTCGTGATATGTTTTGAAGTTGCCTGCACCAAAACCTGCCCACAGTTTTGCATTTTTGGCTTATCTTTATCACTGCCCAGTGAGAGGTGAAAACCAATGATTCAATTATTCTAATTTGTACTGTTGTCTTTGAGGATAACTAAATAACCAAGACTTCCCTTCTGCCAAGGATTGGCAGTTTATTTGTGGCACCTGGAGCTGGTTTTAACTACATCTTCTGGACCTCTTGTTTTGCTCAGAAGCTTCATCAAATAACGAGTTTATTTGCATGCCTACTTACCTCTGCCTCCTGGCTATTGCATATTTAACATAGCAGTTATCTGTTGTTTTTTCTTTTTTTTCCCTTGCTTAACTCACCAAGCATCATGCTGATGATTTGCCTAGTCATCCTTTTCTTTTAGCTTATTTTTCTTTCACGGTATGCATGTTTTGTTTGTTTGTTTTTAAGTTCTTGAATCATGGCCCTTCTTCTGCTTTAGGAAGCCTTCAGCTGTGTCTCCTCTTACCTTTCAAGAAAACTTTTTATTGCATCTTTTTTTTTTGTTTGTTTCCACTTTATTTTAACATGCTTTTAATGAGATGTCTTCCATTAATTACATTAACTTGCTGATCCAATAACTTAAAAACACAGAACCTCTTAGCAGTGTTTTTACATATATATAAAACCTTCAATCATGTTTGTTCGTACAATAAATTTATTCCAGCACACTTTTATTTATTCTGAATAAAACTTTTAATGGTGCCTGTTGGTATCTTATCAAACCTTCACAAAGTTGTATCATTAGCATAAATACTTGTATTTCATAAAGAGCCTTCTTTTATTATGTTAATTCGCATATCTTTTATAGTTCATAAACACTCTCCATTATTAAAATGAATACACACAAACATGCACACATTTTTATGACTTGTTTTTTAAAGTACATTTCAAAAGGTTATGTTAGGTTTCAACGTGGTCTAGCATAATACAGTTTTTTCTCAATGCAAGTTATTCAGCTGAATTGCTTAAAGAGTATAACTTCTTTTAGCATAATAACCTTGTTTTTCAGTATGATGTGGTGGGGCTTTTGTTGTTTGTTTTTTTTTCTTTTTGGTTAGGTTTGTTGTTGTTGATTTGTGGTGGGGTTTTTTGGCTTGTTAGTTTTGAGATATTAACTCCTACCTCACGATATACGATGTTACAACTTAATGATTGCTTTGATTTATTGTGGTTTACTTTGCTCAACAACCTTTATTGGCAACTAGTATGCAAGTAGTTTTTAATTATGAAGCTATATTCTGCCACTTTTCCACAGATCTTACTCCTGCACTACACAGAATGGGTCTTCTTGTAAGACAAGTACTGAAGCTCAAACTCCTCTCTGTAGGATCATTGCCTCATTAACTATGGGGACTTGTACTGTGTGAGGGAAAATACTGCAGAGCTGGAAATGATGATGATCACTAAGAAAAGTGAATGTCCATGTAGAATAAATACTGTGGCTGCATAATTTTTTCTGTTGTATAAATCTGGCTTTAATGTGTGACTAGTATACGCTGTTCATTTTGGAACAAATAAAAGAGACAGTAGTGCTTAATGTTCATTGGGAAGCTGAATTGATGGTCTAAGAAAACATTGGATTTGTTGTCAGTTTTTGATTCAGTATGTTTAAATATGACTTGATAGCTTGATAGTTTTTCATTGAATGACATCCCCCCATTCTTTACCTGAAGAATCCCCTCCCATCCCCTCACCCCAAAGAAAAAAACAAACCCAACAATGGATTCTACTGACAAAAAATGTATATCTGCATAAGTTAAAACAGTTTTATTGGACGGAATCAAAAACTGCATAAGTGTCTTTAGCTTAGCAATTCTTAAGTTCTGAATGTTTAATATTTAGCATTACTATAATTCCAAATTGATTGTTTTAAAATAAGAATGTATTTGCTTGCAGAATAACTGTAATATATCACTTCCATGAGTAAAGTCTCTGGTTTTTAACTTTTAAGAGTAAAGCATGAAATACAGGCTCTGAAGACTTCAGGGCATGCAAGATGAGTTTGTATAGTCTGTATCGTAGACAACATTTGCTCAGTTGCATCTCTTCTTGCACCCTGTAAAGTAGATATTAGGTCTGTGTAAGCTCACATCCATGTTTTCTTGTAGGACATTGGGCATATGACTCTCTCTTATCATTCTGTTGCAGCATGATGGGAGCTCTCAGTAAGTGTATTCAGATCTGTTTTCCCACCTCTCACACAGACTGTAGGGTATAATTGAAAATAAATTTCTTCCTGCTGCAAAAACTTGAAGTGACCGTCAGCTTTTCTGCCTTCAAAGCAAAATGCAAGGCATAGTTGTGTCATTGTTTTATCATCACTAAAACGAAGGAGTTGGAGTGACTAATATACAGAGGGAGGAGGAACAGTGGGAAGGGGTACTAAATAAAGTACTTGTAGTTAAATTGCTTGTTGAGGTAATATAATTTCAGACGATGTGGCAGTGAGCCCAGGATAAACACACATTTAGATAAATGTGTTTCTTGGACAGTAGTGCAGGCTGGAGCTCCTCCTGCTCCCTGGAGGCTTCGTGTCCAGGTTGTACCCTGTTGCTGTATTGCCAACTACAGGCTTACAGGTCTTGGGTTTAGTGTTTGCTGTATGAGAAGCCAAAATGGGGGCTAAATGATGCTTCTGTGACAGCTTTTACAGCCAACAGTGACTCTAAGTGAGCAGTGGTCAGGTCACACCAACTGACAACAGAACTGCTGGAAGGTGTAGACTCCCAGGTTCCCCATCAAAGAACATTTTTCTTACTTCAGGAACAAACAGTCTGGAAGACTGTTGTGATGCCCGTATACTACAGAATCCATTTTTTTAAATGGACAAAATTGTTACCTTTTCCAAAACATTTACCTCTGCTTGAAATGGAGAAGATATATTAACAGAGTTCTATAATACTTGATACACAGCAGCTAGACAAAACTCTTGGTCTCTTGTCTTTTTCCTCACTCTCTCATCTCTCTGCCTGAATAGAAGTGGTTGAATAGGACATGCTGTAATTTGTTTTTACAGTGAATAATGTTTCAGTTTATCCTGAGGGACTGTTAGGTGAGTAATCTCACACTGACCTTGACACAGTGTTGTTGTAAAAGGCAGATCAGGTTGTTTTAAGCAGATAAATCATTTAATTTGCTTCTATTTCTAATAAAAGGAGGCTGGTAAGGAAGTGTTTGTGAGCATTCTGTCATGTGATAACATTTTCCTCTAAAGTAAAATTGTTTAGCTGGCCACAGCATTTGTTTTTATTTACTCTCATCAGAGAACATTATAGATGATGGTATTAACTTCAGTGTTAACTCTTGGCCTCTCCTCTCTGTCTTTTATCGGTCTACAGAGCATTTAAGCTTTGGACATCAATCCACATTTTAACATGTAATTCTAATGAGGTGTGATTGACACTTTACAAATAAACTGGCTTCTTTAAGATCCCATTCTAAAAGTTGTGCAACTTTGTCAGCTAATGCATTAATTTACAAGTTAAATAAAATCAGATTCCCCATATGCTGGAAGTGGTTTTTATTTATTTTCACTGTAGAGTGTGATATCCAATTATTGTATATGATATATGTAATAATTGGTGTCAATTGAGACACTGACTGTATGGTAACAAAACGTATTATGATACAAGAGAAGGATATTGTATGATAGTAGGGAGGCAGGAGCTACTCACATCTGGAAAGTTTGTTCATCATTTTCATCTACTCAAACTGGAGCTGGTTGTTGTACGTTTGGTATTTGCACTGCCTGAAAAGTAAAATGGCCTGAGTCACAACAGGATTCAGGCACAATTAAGAATCCTAGGGATTGAGTTTGCCTCCCATGTCTTGCGCAGTGCTGGTTTTCAACGTGACCAGATGCAGAGGATGAAAGGTCTTGTGTGTCTAGTATGTATTCAACATCAAAACCTCCAGGGCCTTGTAATAAACCTGTGCTAATGTTATATAAGGTCAGATGTCTTTATATACAGCTGAAAATATTCTGTTTCCACAGGGTCGAGACTTGATCTCCTGTCCCTGAGAGTATCAGGTTGCCTTTAGTACATCTTCCTGTTATCTGCATGGTCTCTCAGTTCTTTTGTGAGCATTTCTCCATGTATCAACCATGCTGCAATCCTAATGCTGCCTTATAGGTTAAGATCTTTATTTATTTTGTTTTCAATGTTTTCTATCTCATAAATGTTTCGGGTGATAAATAATTCCTGAGAAGCATATGCTTCTCCCATTGACATACATAGTTTTTTCTCCCATTCACATTATGTGGTTTCTTCTGTTTGGATTTTTGATTTAATTCTTTTTGCTTAAAACTCTTCCTGAATACAGAAATGTCTGGTTCCTGCACTGACTACTGCTGTATTAGGATTTAGAATTATTAGACTTTAGATACTTTCATATGCTAAAGTTCAATTGTCCTTACCCTTTGTACTCCTATTTTGGTGCTGCTGTCTGATGTAATTTTATTATAAGCCATTTCATCGTACCTGCTTTTACAAGATCAAGTTGCTAACTGCTTTTAAAAGATATTTTATTTATTTGTTATCCAAACATGTAGACAGAAGGAATAAAAAGACTGTACGGTACTTTAAGCAGAGATTTATGGTTTTGTTTTGTAGTGCAGATGTTTGCCTAGATAGCTGCATTCTGGGGAGATTGTATTAACGTATTTGTTCTGAGGTTTCTCTGTTCAGTGGTCTGCATGATTTCAGAATAGGAAGAGCATGAACACCTTTCTCGTGTTCTTTTTCCTGTGAATACTGTAGATGAGGCTGTAGCCCTGAGGCCAGGCAGCAGCAGTGCTGATGGGCAGGAAGCAGGTGAAGCGCTCCTGCAGCCATGCTGCTGTGTTCTTTCCAACTGAGAAAGCTGTTGGTGAGGAGGGAAGGTCGCAGCCTTGCCTCCCAGCATGCATGCTCTACTCCAGCTGACCCTGTGTCCCCTCTTGTTTCTGGCAGTGCTGCATGGGCAGGTGTACCGGTTCTGCACCTCCGAGGGTACCTGGCTGCTGAAGGAGAACTCAACTCTGCCCTGGAGGAACCTGACTGAGTGTGAGGCCTCTGACCAGGTAAGAGTGCCTCTCTGGCTGCTACTGTTGTTTAGGACCAAACAGAGGACAGCACTAATCATTGATGCAAGTGGATTTTTGCCCTGTCAAAGTAATCATTTTCAACTCATCCTGAGTGCCTCACTTTGATGAGTCTAACAGTAATGTCAGGTATCTCCCCTTTAAGAAAGTGAGGCAGATGAGCCTAGGGTTAATGTAGGTGAGACAGCCGGGAGAAGTAAACTGGAGGCTGTGGTGCAGGACATTCCTGAGGCAGTCAGTGGTCTTATTTACAGCAGGAAAAATTCTCATTACAGAAGTCATCTAATATTATCCCTTTTCCATTCCTTCCCTTCCCTTGGTAGAATATTTCTGGGATAAAATTAGTTTGTGTTCTCTGTCTCATAAGTAGATATTAAAATTAACTGACCTGAAAGGCACTTGTTTTTCAGCTTTGGGCAAAGGGTAGTTCCTGCTTTCTGTCCGTTTGTGGGATTTGTTTGTTTGTTTTTAAGCTAAATTTGACATGAACTGTAGAATTAGGCTTGTCTGTTTGTTTTCTTGCCCTAGTACTTTATACTCTGCAGGGAGCTGGAATACCTGGCACCAAATAAAGAAGAGTGGAGAGGTTTCCAAGGGATTTTGGTCAGCCACTGGCGTCAGCTAGTGCACTATGTGCGTACCCATGATGTAATGCCATCACAGCTGTGAGCCTCCAAGGGTGATCCTTTTGCTCATATAAATTGAGTTTGCTCTCTGTCCCAGCATGCTGGGAACTAGTACATACCTAGCCAGAACAGTTCTAGTGTATGAAATTCCTTAGTTCCACAGGCAGAGTGCCTCCTGAGTTCCTGGAACTCAGCACCTCTTTAGAAGGAATAAATGGCTGCAAACTAGAAGGAAATGCAAAAAGAGATAATTTCTAGTTCTCCAACTGTGTAAAATATAACATTTTCTTATATTGTGTTTTATTTAACATTTCTTTATAATTTTCTTCTTCCGTATCAGTAGCACATTCTGGGTGTCTCAGCACAGCACTTTAGTGTACCACCCAGTATAATTTTGATCCCTTTTCCCCATTTGCCGTTGTGGTTTCTTCCAGACCTGTGCTGGAACATGCCAAGAAAAGAGAGAGCTTGTGGCAACATGTGGTCATTTGGCACCTACCTCCAGATTTCCATGAGCTAGTTTGGATTTTGAAAACCTTCACAAATAGTGTGAGACCCCAGAATGTGAATGACCACATTTGCTTTTCCAGCTAATGTGCACAGAGCCCCTGGTAATGTTACACTGTGCGATCTATGCATCTTGTGCACGAAGACAGGAAGTTGTTTTTATGAGCTTATTGTATACTATGTCACAACTGTTGTTACACACAGTCCCAAGAGTTTGCAAGTGATTCCTTATAAAATAACATTATTTTCTTTAGGTATGAGTTGTAGGTTTGATTTGTGTAGGTGTTTTAAGTTGTTATGTCTCAGTAGCTGTTTTTCTCCTCATAAAGTAGCTTTCATGTCATTCCTTTTAAAACTAAGCTAGCAAATCCCTGAGGAAAAGCCTGTGTGCTCACATTAAATCCTCCTGGTTCCGCAAAATACATCTGAATGGCTGTACTTATTTCTGAAGTACAACGAGTACATTCCTTTGTACATCGCAGGTCTTGAGAGTCTGCTGCATAATCACAGCTTGAAGTAGGGAAGTAAAAGAGAACATGAATGTGCCTTTGGGCCTAAGCAACAAAGTCCGTACTGTATTTCAGACCTACATGTAGCTTTTCAGACAGTTCTCTCCCTAAAGATTTTGTCCAGCACTTCTAATCAGGAGTCTAAATGGATGTGTCTTCAACAGGACATCTAAAGAGAGAGAGAGGCTATCAGGAAGGTATGAGCATCCCTGCTGCTACATCACCTCGTTCCCTTCTGGGCAGTGCTGTAACTCATAGTTCATGGTATGAGGTGGTCTGCAGCTTGTTGCCAGCAGGCAGTGTAGTTGAGGTGGAAGAGGCACTATTCATGGACAGGAAAGAGTTTAATTGCATGAGTTTAAGGCTTAGAGCTAGCAAATGGGACCTGGCTTGTTTTATTTCTAAACATAGACTTTACCAAAGGAACACCCTTATTACAGCATTAAGGTGATAGGCTCTAAGAGTGTGAGTCTGAAAATATAAGCTTTACCATTTTTACTGCAGAATTAAGTTGTCTGTTCTTTCTGTCATCTGTTTAATACCTGCCTGTGTGGTAATTTATGCCTCTCCAACTCTGTGATCAAATAATGTTGCATTATCTATTTTCTAGCTTGGCTATGAAGTTCAACATTTTGACTGAACACCTGGGAGCAGCTGGGGAATGAATATTAAAATTTTTATTTTGTTAAAACATAGGACAGTGGAAGAGTGATTTAATGAAGGCATTTAACCTTAAAAATAGGAGAATGACTTCTGTGTATCATTAAGAGAAGTTAAAAAGCAACTTGGTAAAAAGATCTGAAGCCCATTAGCTCTGTTTATCCCTTCCTCCCTCTCTTTTTTTCTTTTCTCCTTTATGTGCTCTCAGGATGCACCAGAAGAACAGCTCCTGAATTTGTCCATCATATACACCATTGGATATGCTCTTTCCTTCTCTGCCCTTATAATTGCAACTGCCATTCTTCTTGGATTCAGGTAACTGGCGAAGCTCTGGAGAATGGAGAATGTTTTTCTGTATGATTGTATCAGGCTGACATAAAAATTTGATTTTACCCTTCTTCTATCACCTTATTTCTCAATTGCCTTTGTGTTTTTTCTCGCGTTCATTTCTTCTTAAAATGCAAGCAAAATTCCTAAGCTTCTATTATATGACTGGCGTGTATGAGCACACTGTTTATTAGTTGAAATATTTTGTTTTTATATTTTTTATTTCAATGAAGTTTCCACTTAAAGAGATGGAAAAAAAAAAAAGAGATTTCAACATTCTCTTATGTTGTTGCCTTGGTGATGGGGGATCTGGGATGCAGGTGGACATTTAGCAGAGAAGTTTTCATTCTGCCTTGCACAGAGTTGTGTATAAACCTCAGTCTTGCCCATTTCCTAGTCACAGAATTACAAAATCACAGAACTTTAGGGATCATCTAGTCCCCCTGCTAAAGCAGGTTCTCTACAGTAGATCTTGCAGGAAGGCATCCAGATTGGTCTTGGATATCTCCAGAGGAAGAGATTCTGCTTCTCTGAGTTGCCTGTTCTGGTGCTTCATCACTCTGATTGTAAAGGAGCTCTTTGTTTTTGTATGGAACTTGCTATGCTCCAGCTTCTGCCTGTTGCTCCTTGTTCTGTTGTTCACCACTGAAAAGAGTCTGTCACTTTCAACTCAACTCCCATACTTCGGATACTTATAAACTGCAGTGAGATGCCCCTCAGCCTTCTCTTCTCCATACTGATCATAGCCAGGTCTCTCAGCTTTTCATCATTTAGGAGATGATTTCAGGCCCTTTATCATCTTGCAACCCAAACCATTCTATGATTGATTGATCTTTGTGGCCTGCTGCTGGACTTTTTCTTAGAGATTCCTGTCTTTTTTGAACTGAGGAGCCCAGAACTGAACACAATATTCCAGATGTGGTTTGTGTAGGGTGTATTTCAATGCAGAGAAGGACTTTTACCACAATCTCTTGTTGGAGGGCTTTCAGAAAATCTCATTTATTTTGCTATGTGGAAGATAAATTAATTGATATTTATAAAGTTTTTGTGAAATATATTGCTGTCACTTGGTCACATTAGCATACTGGTTTCATCCAGTAGTGCACCAACACATTGCACAAAGTACCTCAAAATTGAGAGACTCCAGGTTGCACAGCCTTCCTGAACTGGATACATGTTCATGGTACATTGTGTAGGTTTGATTAAAATAAAAAATAAAGTCTTCAGCCTCCAACAAAACAATCTCTTTTTTTCTCTCCCTAGGTACAATAGGTGTCTCACTGATTCCAGACAGATTTTCCTATGCTATAGGAATGCTGAACACATAGTGTTAGAAAACACAAAGACATAAGCATACTCTGGCATAAGAGGGAAGTCCCTCTGTCATGTGGTCTTGCTCCTGGATGCTGTATACATCTGGATCTCATCATCCTGATTACATGTTGATGAGGCTGCCTCTGAGTTGTATTTTCCTGTCTCCCAGTTCTGTGCTCTAATCCTTAAGAAATTTTCTTCCCTAGTAAATAATTCTCATTGCCAGTTAATGATTGCTTGCTCTGAAGGCAGCACTCTGTTAGCAAGGCAGTCCTTCACCTGTCCTAATTATTGGAGGAGTTGCATTTAAAAATCAGTCATGCCTTCAGCTTCTAATCTCCAAAGCTAAAGTAACCTAAGCCTTATACTACCTGCAACGCCTTGTAGCGTGGTGTTATCCCTTCTCCTTCTCAAAGAAGATTTAAAATGACTGCAGAAATGTAGACATTCTCATGCTCTGAGTCCCATGTAATAACTGTGATTTGTACATGTTGTGGCTGTGCAACATGGGACTCATCCAACAAAACACCAGATGGTCTGAATTCTCCAAATGTCTCCCACGATGAGGGCTTTCTTCTTGCTTCACCCATCAGTGACACCTTTTAAGTAATCTTAGCAGCCCAGATGTAAAAGTCACAGAACCCAACCATGTACTTACCGAAGGAAGGATGCACGTGGCTTTGGCACATCACAAGGAGCAACCTTGCCACAGATGACTGGTAGGAGAAAGGAAATGCTGATGCCCTGATTTTTGTGGAGAGATTCTTTAGCACTTATTCCTTCAACTGTGAAGCAGTGACTGGAGAAGTGTGCATGAGTGTCTGTTTCTGGCTTTGCAAATAAGGTTTCAGAGATATTAAGGAGTGCCATCAAACTATTTTTTGTTTTTATGTCTGAATTGACTGTCTGAAGACAACTTCTTTCTGTATCTCAAAAAACATAAGGCGCTCCCGCTGTGTGACTGCAGTTACTGGATTCTGGATGCTGATTGGAACATGGCTCATCCCCATTGGTTGTGCAGTCTCATCAGATAAGGATAAAAATTGAATTCTGTGGCATCAAAATGCTGGTATTTGCCACTTCTGTAATAGGAAGGAGTTAGTAAGTTCTTATACTACAGAATAACCCTTGTATTTGCTCTTTGTAATGATTCAATAGAGTAATGTATCTCTAGTGTCCAATTTTCCATCTTCTGAAATGAAAGAAAAATCTGTAATTTCAGTGATGGAAGCTGAACCAGGCCCATAACTTCATGAATTAGGCAATCTGAATAGCTTGCATTGACTGCAGCAGAAATAGTAACTACTTCAACCTATTATCTTCAGATGGCTAGTTTACATATATTTGTCAATTGGATTTAAATATATGGCAATTCTGAAATGTAGCAGTGTAGCAACAAATAAACTTTGAATTAAACAAAAATAAGTATTAATTATATGTAAGTTTTGCAATAAGCAGTGATCTAAAAGTGATACAAGCAATTCTTATTGAATTATATATTTTTAAATCTTCTTTTTCTTAATTTTAAAACTGATAGTATTCAAGACCAAGCCTATTTTTTTTTTCTTTCTGTTTTTTTGTTTGTTTGTTTATTTGTTTGTTTTTGTTTTTGCTTCAAAGAGAGAATTATATCTAGTTAGCTTCATTTGAAGCAGAATATGTACCGTTGTAATTCTGGAAGAAAAAAATTTGTGGGTGAGACTGGTAAAGCACTAGCAGCACTCTGCAGTTGGTTGCCATTTATGTGACTGCAGTTTCCTTTGCTATCCTTTAACATGCTCTTTTCAATAAGTAGCAATTTTGTTGTCTTTACAGCCGTGACTGCTGAAATTCAAGAGGATTTTTTTTTTCTTTTTTTTTTTCAATTCTGAATGCAGAGGAGGAAATCGTGTTCCTTTTTGTTACACAGGAGATTAATTTCCCTTGGAGGCAATTTGAATACAGCTTTTTCTCTTGTCAAATTGATAATTTACAGGTGGATTTTCTTTTCATTGGGGATGGGATGCTTGTACATAACCCAGAAGCTGTACTGCACAGCAGTTCCTGAGTCAAAGTGACAATGGGGACAGTTCAAAGGGATTAGGTACAGCATGATTTGAAATTAGAATGGTTTTAGTCCTTTTGGATATTTCTTATGAAAATGATTTAATTTTTACACTCTTAAAACATTTTAAATTGATTTTTCTTATGTACCCATTGTTTCCCTTCTCTCAGACGTTCACCCTCATAGCTGCACTTTGAATATAATTTCCTCTGTGACAGTGGTTTCTTTCCAAGAACAGTTTGAAATGCCCCCAGCCATTCTCAAGTTACAAGGATTTCCTCTGGTACCTCATGATTTTCAACAGGGCTCATTATGCCTGACTTCAGTCCTATCTATGATATTGCAGCTTTTACACTATTAGTGGATCATGACTGATTCTTCCATTTTTACAGACATCTTCATTGCACAAGAAATTATATTCATCTGAACCTCTTCACCTCTTTTATCCTCCGTGCTATATCCGTCTTCATTAAAGACTCAGTGGTGAAATGGATGTACAGCACAGCCACACAAGAGCACCAGTGGGAAGGACTTATCTCCTTCCAGGTAGGGGCAGACACTGTGGTGGTTATGAGGATATTGGAGTCATCATGGTGGTGTGTCTGCATCACAGCAGGTAATTTCAGTTTGTACACCTAGGCTTGTCCGAAACGATGCTTTCTGCAGTCTGTAATTTCTCTGAACCTTACAGCACAACATTTGTGGTTGTGGTTGTGCCATTCAGAGCTTACAGCAGACAAACAATTGATGTCATGGTGTATTTTCTCGTCCTCTGGTAGGTTTGCCTTTCTAAATGGAACAGGCATGGCCAAGTGGATTTTTTGCATGTGTATAAATGACTCGTCCCTCTTCTTGGGCTGCAGATTCAGTTCTTCTATTAGTAGCATGAGGAAATTCATTTTACTAATCCAACACCACCTGTGTTAGTATTGTCCCTCCGGTATAGTGATCAAATTAGTTGGTCATTCTTGGAAATCTTTATAATCTTTTAATGATAGAAAAATTGAAGCATCAAATTGAAATGCAAATTTAAAAGCATTTAGAAAAGCTTTGGAGGAACAGACTAATTAAATACTTTCAATCAATTAAGGAGGATATGCAGCTCTTGTGAATATGATGAAAGCATGCCTTTCCTCTTCAGATTTGGGAAACAAAATGTAATTGAATCTTTATAGAAATGTATTCCCATTATTTATATCACTCCTGTGATTCTAGAACATGGGTATAGCATTTGCTACTGAAATACTAGACTGGGGGGGGTCATAAAGAGACATAATACGTAATTAGTACCATCTTTTTGTGACGCGCTGCCTAGGGCTTAATTGTTAATACCGCAAGTGAATATCATAGGATAGTTCATTTCTTTGCATTGAGAATGTGTTGGTTGGCAGAAAGTAAGATTGTAATGCTTACATTAAATGAAGGGCTTGGGAATGTTCACAATGAATTGTCAGTCGTTCCTTTCTTTAAAAAAAAAAAAAGAAAGAAAGAAAAATAGTTTTTGTGTTTTCAGACATGACTTATCCAAAATAGTGATTTCATCAGATCTGATGGATACATTATTTAGATAATCAGGTTTCATGCTTATCTAAAGTTCTGCTGCCCACATCTATGTAAATTGTCAGCTGAGAGATTTTTTTGCACTTAAATGTAATACACTGAACAATACTTTGCTTCTATCAAAAACCTTTTGCTTAGGAAAATGGTAAATATTATGGTTTCTGCTATTTGCTCTTGAATATGTAAATTCTCAGCTGCCAAATGGAATATTTGGAGAACTGAAAAAATTCACTGATTTACATGTGTTATGGGCGCTACTTTTCATTTTCATCTTTCTGTGCTGCTTTTCAAATTATAGTCCAATGCTTACAAGGAAAATTCAATACAAATAATTTTGGTTTTTTGAAAGTAGGAACATTGTATACTTGCTTTGTATAGCACATAGTGCTGGTCTCTGTCCTTTTAGTACTCAAACGTGAGGTTTTGTTTTGAGAAGGAATCACAGAATCACAAAATCATAGGGGTTGGAAGGAACCTCCAGAGATCGAGTCCAACCCCCCTGCCAAAGCAGGTTCCCCACACCAGGTCGCACATGTAGGTGTCGAGGCAGGTCTTGAGTATCTCCAGAGAAGGAGACTCCATCACCTCCCTGGGCAGCCTGTTCCAGTGCTCCGTCACCCTCACTGTAAAGAAGTTCTTGCGCACATTTGTGCAGAACTTCCTATGCTGCAGTTTCCAGCCGTTTCCCCTTGTCCTGTCTCCACACACTGCTGAAAACAGTCTGGCCTCACCACTCTGCCCCCCACATGTTAGATATCTGTAGACCTGGATCAGGTCCCCTCTCAGTTTTCTTTTCTCAAGGCTAAACAGACCCATTTCACTTACTTATCCTTTCTTCATAGGGCAGATGCTCCAGGCCCTTCACCGTCTTTGTGGAAGTACAAGAAGGATAGAGAAAAACATTCTTTCGGGTTAGTCTGCTTTTTTTCCTGTCGCCACTGCTATATTCATTTGGGCTGTGCTTTCTTCCATTACAGGAATCCCTTAGCTGCCGTTTGGTGTTTGTGATGATGCAGTACTGTGTGGCTGCAAACTACTACTGGTTGCTGGTGGAAGGCATGTACCTGTACACGCTGCTGGTACTGTCTGTCTTTTCCGAGCAGAGAATTTTTCGGCTGTATCTCTGCATTGGCTGGGGTAAGTTGATCTTTCCTTGTGTCCACCTGTGACTGCCCAGTTCAAGTTCTGCAGTCTATTCTATTTTTATACCTGATCCCTGATGTTTGAGCTGGGCTAGTGTGGCTTGCAGCATAGAGGCTGTGGGTTCATAATGCAGGGGCTATACATCACTACAGAAACTCCCCAGAGCAGTGACAAGCATGTGGTACTTTTCCAGCAAGACATCAACTTCTAACACAAAAAATGTGTGGCTGGTTTCAGGTGTGCAAAGGGTGTTCTGAATTACCGTACCCTGACAGTTTCTCATTTCATTCAGTGGCATCATCTACTTTTGGTGCAAGATAATGGTGTATATCACACCTAACCAAGAGTAAAGATAGAGGCGTGCTGGCAATGTGGAGGAATGCAACAGGGATGACAAACAAGGGGCTGCTAGCAGGTAGCATTCTGATTGGTTTTGTGGGCAGAACAGGCCAAGTGACAAACGTCAGGTGAAAGATTGGTCAGGGTGCATGTGCCAGGGACATGTGTATGCTTGAGATTAAGTACTGTGATGAGTTAAAATCAGTTGCTTTAGTCAGAACTTCTATGAAAATTCTAAAGCTTTGATTCTTTCACTCTCCAGTTAGCATGAATTCTATTACTATTCAGGACTGATCTTAAGCTTTGATTCTTTCACTCTCCAGTTAGCGTGAATTCTATTACTATTCAGGACTGATTTGAAGAATCTCTTTTGTGTCTTTATTGCCTTCTCTTCATTCCTCTTTTCCTCTCTCCCATCCTTGTGGAACTTGAGTGACTATTGGAAAGCTGAAAGTAAATCAAAGTAAATACTGCAAATGCTTTCACAGATACTACTTCTAACATTTAAATTGTTTTGACTGTCTTTCTCTTTCTATGGATTTACCAACTGTGAATATTCTAGTAAATTAATTCACTGATAAAATATTTATAAATGACTCAGTGTGAATTGGTCGACCAATTTTACTGAACAGTAATATACGGAAAGTAAAGGCTTCCTGGTATAAATAAATACAAGGAATAGCAATTTCATGGTAAGAGTTTTAGTTAAGAAGGAATTATTTGTCTTCTGTTATTGTTTTACGTAGACCATGCAGCAAAAGCATTTTATATAACCATAGAATCATAGAATGAATCATAGAATCACAGAATGGCTTGGGTTGGAAGGGACTTAAATCCCACACAGTTCCATATCCCTGCCGTGGGCAGGGCTGCCACCCACCAGCTCAGGCTGCCCAGGGCCCCTTTCAGCCTGGCCTTGAGTGCCTTCAGGGATGGGGGACCACAGTTTCTCTGGGCAGCCTGTACAAGTGTCTCTGAGCAAATAATTTCCTTCTAACATCTAATCAAAATCTCCCCTCTTTTCATTTAAAACCATCATCCCTTATCCTAT